GTATCCATGAGACAACCTACAACTCAATCATGAAGTGTGATGTCGATATTCGTAAAGACTTGTACGCAAACACCGTTCTATCTGGCGGTTCTACCATGTACCCAGGTATCGCAGATCGTATGCAGAAGGAAATCACTGCCCTTGCCCCCAGCACAATGAAAATCAAAATCATTGCTCCCCCAGAGAGGAAATACTCCGTCTGGATTGGTGGCTCCATCTTGGCATCCTTGTCAACCTTCCAGCAGATGTGGATCAGCAAGCAGGAATATGACGAGTCTGGACCCTCCATCGTACATAGGAAGTGCTTCTAAAGTAACAATACCACTGGTCAATACCACATCATATTCAGCCAAACTAATGAACGGACGGCAGGTGCCTGAGACATCGCTAACTGTTTGCTGTCGGCGCTTGCCTCGATTGTGGTGGAACAGCACGTGCTTCTCGTGCCAGACCGCTACATGCGAGGAATGAGAAATGTGAGAGACGCTAATCTCAATCCAGCAATTACTATGAACACGTTGATCTGATGACTTACAATTCCAAAGTTCTTTTGTTGTTTTACAAAGTTAACTCTACCTGCCCGATTGTATTTTATTTTTATATGTCTTTTGAACTTGTGAAGAAAGACGTTGCAAATCGGAATGATTTCCAAAGCAAAAGCCAAAAATGGACAGTTTTGTTTTTCACTGTTACGTGAAACTTTTATTGTGATTGTTTCAATTGCTCCAATCAGGATTAAACATGAAACATCATAACTCTATACTTCTGTTGTTTCTAGCTGGTATGCCTGGGTCAGTTTGAAACGGCCACTTTATATTGGGTAGTGCATGGATAAAAACGAAATGGTGAAGGCCGCAAAATTCCTTGGCTAGCTTTTCGCTTGAGGATAGACCTATGAATTAAAGCAGTCACTCAGATCTCCTAAATCAGACTCGTTTATACTTGCAGTTATTTGTTTTGCATTATTGTTACGAGGAAGCAGTGGGAGTACTTGTAATTTTTAATCGCTTTGTTCTATACACCTATGGTAGACATAGGTGGCCAGGAAGACCCTTGCTTTGATCGATAACTGAGTCAGCTGATGATTCAATGGCCAAGTTGTGGGTAAACAAGCATGCGTTTCTTCTCGACTCCCAGTGACATGCGTCACCTGACTGGAAATGTGCTAAAGGCAGCGTAAAATCTTTAAAAAGGTTTTACAATAAAACCCAGGGGTCAATTTAACTACTTGCCCGGTGGCAGGGGTCAGTTAAAACTTACACAGGGCTTGCTGAAACGTAAAGTGTAAGGCAGGTCTGTTTAGTCAAAATGTCACCCCTTCTCCGAGTATGTTTAATAATTATTAGTTTTTGGACACTGCTCGATGAGAAAGTATTTAGAGGGATGAGGTCGTGTGGAGGGTAAACTCAAAAGAAATATATATGTCGATAATCTCATCAGAAAGTACTACTGCACGCCATTTCGTAATATCGTGTAAACTATCCAAATTTGCTCATAAATCGCCACCAAATATATGAGGCGAAAGGAAGCCAAGATTTAAAGACAGAGCGCAGGAAAATGCGTTTTAGGGGTAAGGACTTTTTTTAAAAATTTGTTACATCTAACCCTGAACTGAATTTGTACTGGAACACATCGGCTTGTTGTGTGTGTCAGATTTTCGACTAAAAATAAATATTTTATATCGTATTGAGTAATATAAGATCATGGTGACGCGGAACATCAAATTCTTTTTGAAAAACGTTGGAACAGTAAACAATTTCCTTGCTTTCAGACCACACTCGGTCAATAACACGCATCATTACAAGAGGCGAAATCGGAAAGTTACACTTCATCCTTGTTCTCAACATTTGAAGGAAAGAAATAATTGAATATATGTAGCACTGTACCTTCTCTGCCAGGGCTCGAAAAACCTGAAAACTTTAGTTTCCTATCTGAAGGTTACAGTTTACCAGTTCCATGTTCAATATACAAAGAATTATGAAAGATACTGAACCGTTTGTTTGTTGTGTAACGCTGCAATATTCCAGCTACATGGCGGTCTGTAAATAATCTCCTATCTGAAGGTAACAGTTTACCAGTTCCATGTTCAATATACAAAGAATTATGAAAGATATTGAACCGTTTGTTTGTTTGTTGTGTAACGCTGCAATATTCCAGCAACATGGCGGTCTGTAAATAATCGAGTCTCGACAAGACAATTCAGTGATCGTTATCATAAACATTGACCCACGCAATTAGGACACAATGACCTGCATCAACCAATGTCAGCGAGCCTGACCACCCGATCCCTTTAGTCGCCTTTTACGCCAAGCACGGGTTGGTGAAGACCCGGACATCTAAAACAAATATCTAAAAAATTATAAATATCGTATAAAATATAAAAAATACACTATTGGGAAAAGAAACTTTTGGTTTGTTGTTTAACGCCGCCATATGACGGTGGTTCCTGCTTCGGATAAACGCCGAGTCAAGGGACCTTTCCAAATAAATACAAGCACCACGCTTATTCAAGGACATTGTGAGTGCCGAATGGTGCACCGAAAGGGCAACTAAAACAAGGAAAACTTGGAGGCACAAAGGAGGGAGCGAGTGAAGTGTCGCATATCACATTATTTACATGACAAAAAACACAACACATTATATATTCCCACTGCTGAAACTGATGTCCAGCCTATAAGGATATTGTAACTTAAAAACAATAAACGTTAAAATTAAAACATAATTATAAAAGACGCATATGATAGTGCTACCACAAATGTATCGCTATACGGTTAACATTTCCACGTTATGTCGTCAATAGACACTGAAGCGTACGTAACCTTTCTTTCAAGAAGTGTCTACCTCGTATTGTGGCGAAATGTCTGATTCAATGCTGGAATTCAAGGCGTCTCTAAAAATATGCTTGATATTATTTATACACAACACATTTTCCGTTACACCAGAAGATAAAGACACTTTTAACAAATTGACAATGCTTGGTATTTTCCATTCAATTGCCCATTAAGTCCCATAGTGGCATAAGAGATTGCAATAAATGGTTCGGATATATAGATATGTATGAGACTCAGGTATTATTTAATGGTTGTGTCATACAGCTACTTTTTATGTATATATCTTTACAATGTGCATACAGATTTTCGTAACCTTATAAACATAAAGAAATATAAAGTTGGAAGTTAAATCATGCATGCTAAGTCTCAGCTTCTTGGTTGATAGATAAGCATACATCAGGGGAAGTCTGTTTATTCATGTCCATTCAAATGAAATTGTACAGTATTCATTGCATCTATTGTCCAATCAGAATGTACACGTACTTCTGTAAATGCTTCTGTAAATACATTCACCATCGTGTATAAAACTGTATACTTGTAAGCTACTGGTATAACGAACTCAAAGGGACCACTAATTTTAGTTCGTAATAACCGTAGTTCGTTATAAGCAGATATACAGCATATAATCAACAAATGGTCGGGACTAAAAAATAAGTTCGTTATATCGGTGAGTTCGTTATAAACGTAGTTTACTGTATTATATAAAGGTGACGCGGTCGGAGTGGCAGTAGACTCACGGGACTCGCAACCCCCGGTCACTCTTGGTCAACGCCTACCAGTGTCCGTAATAAGGGCCTTACAAAAAGTGAGTGAGTTTGGTTTTACGCCGCTTTTAGCAATATTCCAGAAACCTCACGGCGGGGGACACAAAAAATGGGCTTCACACATTGTACCCATGTCGGGAATAGAACCCGGGTCTTCGGCGTGACGAGCGAACGCTTTAACCACTAGGCTACCCGACCGCCCCCCTTACAAAAAGACATGTTCAATTCCATATGGTCAGTCTGTGACCTTGTTACGCCTTTACTGCCATAATTATACTTAAGATAGCATGTGCATAAGAAACAGTACTAAAAGCATGTATGTGTTAAATAAGAAAACGACCGTAAGCATCACATGTAAGTTTGAAAGACAGATTACTACATTATATGATGTTCCAGTTAATAAATAAACACCTGGCTCACTGTTGAAGATGCCACTTTAATAAACATACATCTTTGATAAAAAAAGATTATTTGATATGTCACGTCGTGACGTGACTGTTTGCATTGTCATCGGCTGGTGATTCGAAAGGCGGCATCGTAAAGTTTCGTCAGCACTGTGGAACTTTACAAGGCTTGGCCCCTCCAGACATCGATCAACATCTACATATACATACATAGCATTTCCTTCGAAACCGAATTTAGAATTTGATTTTATATACATGTGTTTAGATAACATGCTTTTTAGATTTGCCTTTTGACTTGTCTCGTGGCATGGACGTTTGCACAACTACATTCCCACTGAGCTAAGATGTGTGTTTCGGCTTACACCCGCAGAGCATCAGTAATAAACTTAACATTTTGTTACTGCACCAACACAAACTTGATCGCCACAGTGTCCAGGTTCGTCAACAGGCGCGGCAGAATGGCATGGGCACCAACAAGAACTTCATCATCACAATCACATGGATGAAAAGTATAGTAGTGTTTGTTGTGGAGTAGTGTGTGTTTGTATTAATGTCTTTGTATCTGTATGAAACACTAATAATTGAGATTAAATAGACTGAATTTGATTGGCTAACCAATCCAATTTTGTGTGTGTTAGTCTTTCCATAATTCTATAAAATATATAAAGCCGCACCCATTAGGTGACTACACAGTGTGATGGATAAATGATTGTGTGGGCGGGGCCGTACATCCAACTCACAGATACTGAGAAGGGAATTAAAGGTACAACTACTCTGTAGTGTGGGTTAGCTGAAATACTGATCAAAGTGGGCTTACATCCAAATCACTCATGCTGTGGGGGGATTTAAAGGTACAGCTACCGTGTGTATGGTGAGCCTGTTCTAAAACATACAGTCCTGTCATGGATGTCCCTTCTTTGTGCACTGTATTACTTTTGTTACATCATTCAATGAACATTAGCAGGTGATACAGGTGCAAAACATTAACATTAACCAAAACATTCTTTTTGAAAATGACTACTTTATTCATGTGCAATCTCAAGGTCAAGACACTGCCATTGATAAACTACAACCCTGCCCACCATGACATGGAATATATTTGCAATTACTGCATATCAAATATATTAAAAAAATTATTTATTACTGATACAGTACGTTTTGTTACATATTGTACAGGGCTTGTATGTAACCTTCACAATTATCAATGACAGAATGCTAAAATAACAATATGATCAATCTCATTAAAATCTAACATTAGTTCTGGCAACCACTGAACAAAGATATGAGGAGATCCCATTACCGGTCATCCAACCAATCAGAACGTACCGATCCAGAAAGTGACAGTCAGAATGTGTTTTCTAATTATGCAACCTCGAAAAGATTAACACAAGGTATTTTGGAATGACTATTATGGGTTGTGAACTGATTCCTTTAAAATAATTATCCATCCGTTGCTTCAATGGGATAAACATTTGAAACTAAGAGACTTTCCATAGACAGTGTGAAGGACTGTCATGCAATCTCGGCCATCTATTAGACATTCTAGAATTGTCTTTTGTCCAGTTTTAAAATGTTTAATCAAGAACTTTGTCAAAATATTTTTCAAAGCGCAGTATGGAATGAAATTAAAACTTTTAAAACTAGTGCCATAAAACATGAGAAAGCTGTTTTCTGACTGGCCCATGTCAACTTCCTGTTAGTCATTTCATTGGTCGGATGTCCTCTGGTCTTTGTGTAGCGGATGTGTAGCGGTCAGCAAGCCTGACCACCCGATCCTGTTAGTCATTTCATTGGTCGGATGTCCTCTGGTCTTTGTGTAGCGGATGTGTAGCGGTCAGCAAGCCTGACCACCCGATCCTGTTAGTCATTTCATTGGTCGGATGTCCTCTGGTCTTTGTGTTGCGGATGTGTAGCGGTCAGCAAGCCTGACCACCCGATCCTGTTAGTCATTTCATTGGTCGGATGTCCTCTGGTCTTTGTGTAGCGGATGTGTAGCGGTCAGCAAGCCTGACCACCCGATCCTGTTAGTCATTTCATTGGTCGGATGTCCTCTGGTCTTTGTGTAGCGGATGTGTAGCGGTCAGCAAGCCTGACCACCCGATCCTGTTAGTCATTTCATTGGTCGGATGTCCTCTGGTCTTTGTGTAGCGGATGTGTAGCGGTCAGCAAGCCTGACCACCCGATCCTGTTAGTCATTTCATTGGTCGGATGTCCTCTGGTCTTTGTGTAGCGGATGTGTAGCGGTCAGCAAGCCTGACCACCCGATCCTGTTAGTCATTTCATTGGTCGGATGTCCTCTGGTCTTTGTGTAGCGGATGTGTAGCGGTCAGCAAGCCTGACCACCCGATCCTGTTAGTCATTTCATTGGTCGGATGTCCTCTGGTCTTTGTGTAGCGGATGTGTAGCGGTCAGCAAGCCTGACCACCCGATCCTGTTAGTCATTTCATTGGTCGGATGTCCTCTGGTCTTTGTGTAGCGGATGTGTAGCGGTCAGCAAGCCTGACCACCCGATCCTGTTAGTCGCCTCTTACAGCAAGCATGAGTTACTGAAGACCTATTCTAACCCGGATCTCCATGGGTAAAAAACATTGGTCTGCCCACTCATTATTTTGGATACATTAGTATTACAAATTGTTACTGTAAATGTGTTTGCAAAAACAAACAAAAACAAACAATAATAGCAAATGCTAGACTGGAAAGATAATGGTTTCCTGCAGAAATATTCATTAGCTGTAGAGATTTGGCCAGGAACAAATGCTACTTGGGAAAATGGGAAAATCAGCTAGGATGTTCTATTCCATGGAAACAAATATTCAGTGTATATTGCCATGGGTTAAGGGACACAAAACTCAGGGATTTCCAGTTTAGATTTATTCATAAAGTAATATTTACTAAACGTGAGTTATTAAGAATGAAACTTATTGATAGCGATGAGTGTTCTATGGGTCATACTCACAAAGAAAATGTTTTCATGTTTATATCGAATGTCATGTTCTTAAGAATTTCTGGTCAGATTTCGGTATTTACTTGACTCATATCTTGCATAGAAAAATCCTTATAACTGACAACGAGCTCCTCTTTGGTACCTCTGATGTATTAATTAACCATTTGATTGTAGCTGCTAAAAGATTTATCTTTGTCCAGTGTATTAAGAATGAAAATGTTGACTTTGTTGTTTTTAAGAACACAATAAGAACTATCTATGATGTTGAATATCATATTGCACGTAGAAATAACGACTTCTCTGCCTTTAATAGAAAATGGGCTTTGTTTACTCAAACTGTAAAATAACTTATTCACTTGATGCTTGCAACATAATTTGATGTACCATAAATACCGCATCTTCTCAATTGTATACATAAATATGCCTTCATCTGTACCATGCTGTGGATTATGCCTTAGGCCTCCTCTGTACCACATCCTTTTGAGAAGTACCTGTATACATGAAGCTGTACTGTTTTTCGATTGCATATGTATCCTGTGTATATGACTGAATAAAAAAATTTTAAAAACACAAAAAAAACAAATGCTACTTGTTTGAGATGAAGTTCAAAATATTTCCATGGAAGTACATGATAGCAAACATGTTTTTAATAGAAGCCTTGTTGGGTGGTGAGCAGACTTCCCCATGGTGACACAGTACTTCAAAATGGCTGGGACATTAGGGTAGCCTCCATATCTTCAGAACGTCCTGGGCTTTACATGACAAGTGACACAGACATTTCACCTTGATGTAACAAACTTATGCTGGAACTCTGTTATGCTGACTGATGTCTGTCCCTTCTCATCATAGTCATACCACTCCTGTAACATACAGACACATCAAGTCATACCACTCCTATAACATAGACACATCAAGTCATACCACTCCTATAACATACAGACACATCAAGTCATACCACTCCTGTTACATACAGACACATCAAGTCATACTGCTCCTGTAACATACAGACACATCAAGTCATACCACTCCTATAACATACAGACACATCAAGTCATACCACTCCTGTAACATACAGACACATCAAGTCATACCACTCCTGAAACATAAAGACACATCAAGTCATACCGCTCCTATAACATACAGACACATCAAGTCATACCGCTCCTATAACATACAGACACATCAAGTCATACCGCTCCTATAACAAACAGACACATCAAGTCATACCGCTCCTGAAACATACAGACACATCAAGTCATACCACTCCTGTAACATACAGACACATCAAGTCATACCACTCCTGTAACATACAGACACATCAAGTCATACCACTCCTGAAACATACAGACACATCAAGTCATACCACTCCTGAAACATACAGACACATCAAGTCATACCGCTCCTATAACATACAGACACATCAAGTCATACCACTCCTGAAACATACAGACACATCAAGTCATACCACTCCTGAAACATAGACACATCAAGTCATACCATTCCTGAAACATACAGACACATCAAGTCATACCACTCCTGAAACATACAGACACATCAATTCATACCGCTCCTGAAACATACAGACACATCAAGTCATACCACTCCTGTAACATACAGACACATCAAGTCATACCACTCCTGAAACATACAGACAGATCAAGTCATACCACTCCTATAACATACAGACACATCAAGTCATACCACTCCTGAAACATACAGACACATCAAGTCATACCACTCCTGTAACATACAGACACATCAAGTCATACCACTCCTGTAACATACAGACACATCAAGTCATACCACTCCTGTAACATACAGACACATCAAGTCATACCACTCCTGTAACATACAGACACATCAAGTCATACCACTCCTGAAAAATACAGACACATCAAGTCATACCGCCTTATAACATACAGACACATCAAGCCATACCACTCCTGTAACATACAGACAAATCAAGTCATACCACTCCTATAACATACAGACACATCAAGTCATACCACTCCTGTAACATACAGACACATCAAGTCATACCACTCCTGTAACATACAGACACATCAAATCATACCACTCCTGAAAAATACAGACACATCAAGTCATACCGCTCCTATAACATACAGACACATCAAGTCATACCACTCCTGTAACATACAGACACATCAAGTCATACCGCTCCTGTAACATACAGACACATCAAGTCATACCGCTCCTGTAACATACAGACACATCAAGTCATACCACTCCTGTAACATAGAGACACATCAAGTACTACCACTCCTGTATCATACAGACACATCAAGTCATACCGCTCCTATAACATACAGACACATCAAGTCATACCACTCCTGTAACATACAGACAAATCAAGTCATACCACTCCTGAAAAATACAGACGAATCAAGTCATACCGCTCCTATAACATACAGACACATCAAGTCATACCACTCCTGTAACATACAGACAAATCAAGTCATACCACTCCTATAACATACAGACACATGAAGTCATACCATCCCTGTAACATAGAGACACATCAAGTCATACCACTCCTGTAACATACAGACACATCAAGTCATACCACTCCTGTAACATACAGACACATCAAGTCATACCACTCCTGTAACATACAGACACATCAAGTCATACCACTCCTGTAACATACAGAAACATCAAGTCATACCACTCCTGAAACATACAGACACATCAAGTCATACCGCTCCTGAAACATACAGACACATCAAGTCATACCACTCCTGTAACATACAGACACATCAAGTCATACCACTCCTGAAAAATACAGACACATCAAATCATACCACTCCTGAAACATACAGACACATCAAGTCATACCACTCCTGTAACATACAGACACATCAAGTCATACCGCTCCTGTAACATACAGACACATCAAGTCATACCACTCCTGTAACATACAGACACATCAAGTCATACCGCTCCTGTAACATACAGACACATCAAGTCATACCACTCCTGTAACATAGAGACACATCAAGTACTACCACTCCTGTATCATACAGACACATCAAGTCATACCGCTCCTATAACATACAGACACATCAAGTCATACCACTCCTGTAACATACAGACAAATCAAGTCATACCACTCCTGAAAAATACAGACGAATCAAGTCATACCGCTCCTATAACATACAGACACATCAAGTCATACCACTCCTGTAACATACAGACAAATCAAGTCATACCACTCCTATAACATACAGACACATGAAGTCATACCATCCCTGTAACATAGAGACACTTCAAGTCATACCACTCCTGTAACATACAGACACATCAAGTCATACCACTCCTGTAACATACAGACACATCAAGTCATACCACTCCTGTAACATACAGACACATCAAGTCATACCACTCCTGTAACATACAGAAACATCAAGTCATACCACTCCTGAAACACACAGACACATCAAGTCATACCGCTCCTGAAACATACAGACACATCAAGTCATACCACTCCTGTAACATACAGACACATCAAGTCATACCACTCCTGAAAAATACAGACACATCAAATCATACCACTCCTGAAACATACAGACACATCAAGTCATACCACTCCTGTAACATACAGACACATCAAGTCATACCGCTCCTGTAACATACAGACACATCAAGTCATACCACTCCTGTAACATACAGACACATCAAGTCATACCACTCCTGTAACATACAGACACATCAAGTCATACCGCTCCTATAACATACAGACACATCAAGTCATACCACTCCTGTAACATACAGACAAATCAAGTCATACCACTCCTATAACATACAGACACATGAAGTCATACCATCCCTGTAACATACAGACACATCAAGTCATACCACTCCTGTAACATACAGACACATCAAGTCATACCACTCCTGTAACATACAGACACATCAAGTCATACCACTCCTGTAACATACAGACACATCAAGTCATACCACTCCTGTAACATACAGAAACATCAAGTCATACCACTCCTGAAACATACAGACACATCAAGTCATACCGCTCCTGAAACATACAGACACATCAAGTCATACCACTCCTGTAACATACAGACACATCAAGTCATACCACTCCTGAAAAATACAGACACATCAAATCATACCACTCCTGAAAAATACAGACACATCAAGTCATACCACTCCTGAAACATACAGACACATCAAGTCATACCACTCCTGTAACATACAGACACATCAAGTCATACCGCTCCTGTAACATACAGACACATCAAGTCATACCACTCCTGTAACATACAGACACATCAAGTCATACCACTCCTGTAACATACAGACACATCAAGTCATACCACTCCTGTAACATACAGACACATCAAGTCATACCGCTCCTATAACATACAGACACATCAAGTCATACCACTCCTGTAACATACAGACAAATCAAGTCATACCACTCCTGTAACATACAGACAAATCAAGTCATACCACTCCTGTAACATACAGACACATCAAGTCATACCACTCCTGAAACATACAGACACATCAAGTCATACCACTCCTGAAAAATACAGACACATCAAGTCATACCACTCCTGAAAAATACAGACAAATCAAGTCCTACCACTCCTGTAACATACAGAAACATCAAGTCATACCACCCCTGTAACATACAGACACATCAAATCATACCACTCCTGTAACATACAGACACATTAAGTCATACCACTCCTGTAACATTAAGTAATACCACTCCTATCTAAGAACACTGCTGTACTCACCCTCTTCCCCTGGTTGATGTCTGAGGACATTGCTGTACTCACCTTCTCCCCAGTTGAGGACATTGCTGTACTCACCTTCTCCCCAGGTTGAGGACATTGCTGTACTCTCCTTCTCCCCAGTTGAGGACATTGCTGTACTCTCCTTCTCCCCAGTTGAGGACATTGCTGTACTCACCTTCTCCCCAGGTTGATGTCTGAGGACATTGCTGTACTCACCTTCTGCCCAGTTGAGGACACTGCTGTATTCACCTTCTCCCCAGGTTGATGTCTGAGGACATTGCTGTACTCTCCTTCTCCCCAGTTGAGGACATTGCTGTACTCACCTTCTCCCCAGTTGAGGACACTGCTGTACTCACCTTCTCCCCAGGTTGATGTCTGAGGACATTGCTGTACTCACCCTCTTCCCCAGATTGATGTCTGAGGACATTGCTGTACTCACCTTCTCCCCAGTTGAGGACATTGCTGTACTCACCTTCTCCCCAGTTGAGGACATTGCTGTACTCACCCTCTTCCCCAGATTGATGTCTGAGGACATTGCTGTACTCACCCTCTTCCCCAGGTTGATGTCTGAGGACATTGCTGTACTCACCTTCTCCCCAGTTGAGGACATTGCTGTACTCACCCTCTTCCCCAGGTTGATGTCTGAGGACATTGCTGTACTCACCTTCTCCCCAGTTGAGGACATTGCTGTACTCACCCTCTTCCCCAGATTGATGTCTGAGGACATTGCTGTACTCACCTTCTCCCCAGTTGAGGACACTGCTGTACTCACCTTCTCCCCAGGTTGATGTCTGAGGACATTGCTGTACTCACCTTCTCCCCAGTTGAGGACATTGCTGTACTCACCTTCTCCCCAGTTGAGGACACTGCTGTACTCACCTTCTCCCCAGGTTGATGTCTGAGGACATTGCTGTACTCACCCTCTTCCCCAGATTGATGTCTGAGGACATTGCTGTACTCACCTTCTCCCCAGTTGAGGACATTGCTGTACTCACCCTCTTCCCCAGATTGATGTCTGAGGACAGTGCTGTACTCACCTTCTCCCCAGTTGAGGACATTGCTGTACTCACCTTCTCCCCAGGTTGATGTCTGAGGACATTGCTGTACTCTCCTCCCCAGTTGATGACATTGCTGTACTCTCCTTCTCCCCAGTTGAGGACATTGCTGTACTCACCTTCTCCCCCAGGTTGATGTCTGAGGACATTGCTGTACTCACCTTCTATCCAGGTTAATGTCTGAGGACATTGCTGTACTCACCTTCTCCCCAGTTGAGGACATTGCTGTACTCACCCTCTTCCCCAGATTGATGTCTGAGGACATTGCTGTACTCACCTTCTCCCCAGTTGAGGACATTGCTGTACTCACCTTCTCCCCAGGTTGATGTCTGAGGACATTGCTGTACTCTCCTCCCCAGTTGATGACATTGCTGTACTCTCCTTCTCCCCAGTTGAGGACATTGCTGTACTCACCTTCTACCCAGGTTGATGTCTGAGGACACTGCTGTACTCTCCTTCTCCCCAGTTGAGGACATTGCTGTACTCACCTTCTACCCAGGTTGATGTCTGAGGACATTGCTGTACTCTCCTTCTCCCCAGTTGAGGACATTGCTGTACTCACCTTCTCCCCAGTTGAGGACATTGCTGTACTCTCCTTCTCCCCAGTTGAGGACATTGCTGTACTCTCCTTCTCCCCAGTTGAGGACATTGCTGTACTCACCTTCTACCCAGGTTGATGTCTGAGGACATTGCTGTACTCTCCTTCTCCCCAGTTGAGGACATTGCTGTACTCTCCTTCTCCCCAGGTTGATGTCTGAGGACATTGCTGTACTCACCTTCTCCCCAGTTGAGGACATTGCTGTACTCACCTTCTCCCCAGTTGAGGACATTGCTGTACTCTCCTTCTCCCCAGTTGAGGACATTGCTGTACTCTCCTTCTCCCCAGGTTGATGTCTGAGGACATTGCTGTACTCTCCTTCTCCCCAGTTGAGGACATTGCTGTACTCACCTTCTCCCCAGTTGAGGACATTGCTGTACTCTCCTTCTCCCCAGTTGAGGACATTGCTGTACTCTCCTTCTCCCCAGTTGAGGACATTGCTGTACTCACCTTCTACCCAGGTTGATGTCTGAGGACATTGCTGTACTCTCCTTCTCCCCAGTTGAGGACATTGCTGTACTCACCTTCTCCCCAGTTGAGGACACTGCTGTACTCACCTTCTCCCCCAGGTTGATGTCTGAGAACACAGTGCTAGTTTCTTCCCCTTCAACACTCCATCCAACCTGCAAGAAGACAATATGTGCATAAATATAAAGTGACATCCATTATTCTGCTGTCAGAACATTCATAAACATACGACACTGATCACATGTCTCACAGCTTTCAAATCTCTTAGTGTCAACTATTTCATATTTGACATTGCAGTATTTTAATGAAGGAAAATATCATAAAATGGAAACGTAGCTTTGTGGCTAACCTGGTTCATATGCATTCACAAGGCTGCTTGCTTACCCAAGGTGAGTATAATCTATTGGCTCCACACCCAGGTAGTCAAAGGTCACCAAAGTCCTTGCTTACCCTAGGTGAGAAATCTATTGGCTCCACACCCCGGCAGTCGAAGGTCATCAAGGTGCTTGCTAACCGTAGATGAGAAATCTATTGGCTCCACACCAAGGTAGTCGAAGGTCACCAAGGTGCTTGCTTACCCTAGGTGAGAAATCTATTGGCTCCACGCCCCGGCAGTCGAAGGTCACAACAGACTTGAACTTGCCAGCATCAGCCACTGTGTATGAACTCAGCGTCTCTTTCAGTATGTCTGGAAACATCATAGGGAAGCAGTTTGAAAAAGAACATATTTCTGATGCACCCAAAGCGGAACAACTGAAACAGTTTCAGAATATGACACTTCATACAGAGGGCAATTTAGCTAGTAGCAGGATCATCATCACCCATGTTGATATTCAAATGCAAGCCACACTGATTTACCTTCCCGCATGTTTCCCTATATTTATATGAACGTGTTAAACATACAGTATAACCATGTTAACTGGGCAGCTTGGACCATCTGACACACATGCAGATGAACAAAAAATGAAGGGTGACATATTTATATTATCATACAGTAAAACAGAGAAGAGGGCTCAGTTGCTCATCTGGCTCAGGCAAAACTACAGTCACCTGAAAATTAAACAGTTTGTGTTGTGGGGAAACATCCTAGACAACATAACAGAACATACTCCCATCTATATTTTTTGTGGTCGTTTTCTGGTTTCAAAATTTCAGCTGGTTAAGAAAATTGTAAGCAAGTTTACAGTTTTAAAAAATCAATTAACTTTTTATGTTCAATAGAAATCGAGAAAAATTGGTGGGGGTTAATTCATCTGCTTTCACTTTTAGAGATACTTACTGCATTTTTTTCGGTTCATTTAGGTATGAATTTAAAAACCGAAGTGCAAACTTTTGTAAGAATCCACTATGCAGATTCATACAATTTGCACATTGGCTTTTCGATTCAAACCTCAATAAACCGAAAAAAATATACAATCAATGCTTATAATTAAATTCGACACCGAAAACAGGTTTTATCTACAATAGTTTAACCAAAAACAGTTGTATATGTCAAAGCAGACAAAAATGACGAGATTGATAAAAATTCCAGGTGTAGGAATACATGCTGTGGTGTGATATGAATCAGGTGATTGTTAAATTTCTGCACATAACTTGACACACCTACAAAGTCAGCAGCCAGTCAACTGGGAGTAGGTTTAAAACAATGTTCACAGGACCTGTCCACTATGGTAGGAGGCGAGAAGAACTGCAACAGTCAGGATGTAACAAAACCGAAACAAATATGTCCAGGAAAAGGCGGCTGTTTCAAATGACATGGTCAGTTACAAACAGATTCAAACGTTAGTTCCCTGAGAACAGGAAGACCCAGTTGGAAAAATGCTAGTTAGAAATGAAAGTTGTGGAACCGAGGCGAGTTGGAAAAAAACAGGCGAGCGATCCTGATGGTTTGCTGTTTCATTCCTTCTCGGCCTTCGGTCTCAACAGGTTGTTTGGACAATGAATATGCTGGAATTTCACTAAAATGTCCTGTGCATGACAATACACGTGAGCAGATAGGGAATTCCCTCGACTGTAATATTGAGATTCCCCGACATTCCATAGTAATAAAAGTAGTCTGCCTCGGTGGGCGTGGCTGAATTTTTTACATTCATTAAGAAATAATTGCAATAACATGTGACCAATTCAGCAAATCGGAATGCAGGAATTTCAATTAACACAACGAAAATTTAATTACTGAAGATACAACAAGAAAACAGCATTATCACTACCCCATCATGAGTGAGTGAACAATGTTCCAGTTATATCACGGCATGTCAGCTTTATGTGGTAGGAAAGCTTAAAGTGATGCAGGTCTCAGACGTTAACCACTTCGGGGAAACCCACGAGCACAGGTATGGTGCTGACAAACCTAGAAACATAATCGGGGCGGACCGGGATTCGAACCCACAATCATAGGTTTCTGGCATGCCCAAGGGACGCAACTCTGCACAGAGAATTGCGGTGCCTTAGACGACTCAGCCACCTGTGCCCCCTAATGAACAATGAATACCTTTATGCTTAGTAGAAAGACTCTTAAGATCATCCAAACTGCTTCCATGGAAACAAGAAATTAAAAAATTACAAATTAAATAATATAAAAAGTCATAGTTGAGCAAGTGATCAATGCACATGTATAGTTTCATGCAAAAATATTCATTAGTTTTAGAGTCATGGTTTTGAAACAAAGTCTAGAGTTGTTTGAGACTATGTCCAATTTTTTTCTCCATAGAAACGTAACAAAAGAAAATTTGAGAAAAAATTCAAAATGGCAATAGGCACCAGTTAAGCTGATGAGCAATGCATATGCCAAGTTTCACTGAAACATGTTGAACGTTTTCAAGTCATTGCCTGGAAACAAACCCCACCCTTGTTTGAGACTAAGGTGAAATTATTTCCATGGAAACAAACAGAAAAATACTAAATTTCAAAATAGCAAAAGGCACCAATTAAGCTGATGAGCAATGCATATGCCAGGTTTCACTGAAAAATACTGAATGGTTTTGGTTTTGAGTTATGGCTCAGATTAGGATGGGAACGCCAACGGGAACTGGGCTAAAAAAAAATATGTCTCCCACCCTTTTTGGGGTTGGGGAACAAAATTTGACATTAATAAAGAAAAGAAGTCCCTTGTCTGGAATAAATAATTAATGGCACCAATTTTCGAATTCAGTCTTGAAAAGTATCTCTTAGTAAGATAACCTTGCAAAGTTTTGTTCATGTAACTTCAGTACTCTCTTAGAACACGTGAACACTTGTGCCCATTGCACACCCGATGAACCAACAAGGATCAATTTGTAAATGTGTAAAAAAATAATGCAGCACCAATTTTCAAACTCAGTCTTAACAAGAATCTCTAAGATAAGCATGCAAACTTTCATTCATGTAACTCGAGTAGTTTCTGAAGAAACTTGTAGAAAAGAAGGAGCAAGGGCCATAACTCTGTAAAAACTGAATTCAAGACATCACTTTTCAACCTCACTTTAGACCATGACCAGTAACATCAGTGTGTAAAATTATATTTCTCTAACTTTTCACAACAGAACTTATATTTCATCCTCATAAAATAGAAGGCCTACATTTATTTATCAGAACAAGGAATCTCCACCAAATTAATTTCTAAAAAAATATTTGTCAAAGTAACATATTTTCTTGACTATAGTGGAGTATAGTTGATGTGAGTGGGTTATTATCAACGCCCTATCTGCCAGGTATTGGGGATGAAGAGTCCCCTGTCTGACTGCCTGTGTTGATATGGATGGGTTATTATCAGCGCCCTATCTGCCAGGTATTGGGGATGGAGAGTCCCCTGTCTGACTGCCAGTGTTGATATGGATGGGTTATTATCAGCGCCCTATCTGCCAGGTATTGGGGATGTACAGTGCCCTGTCTGACTGCCTGTATTGATGTGGATGGGTTATTATCAGCACCCTATCTGCCAGGTATTGGAGATGTACAGTGCCCTGTCTAACTGCCTGACTGGGGATGTACAGTGCCCTGTCTGACTGCCAGTGTTGATATGGATCGGTTATTATCAGCACCCTATCTCCTGGGTATTGGAGATGTACAGTGCCCTGTCTGACTGCCAGTGTTGATGTGGATGGGTTATTATCAGCACCCTATCTGCCAGGTATTGGAGATGTAGTCCCCTGTCTGACTACCTGTGTTGATATGGATGGGTTTTTATCAGCGCCCTATCTGCCAGGTATTGGAGATGTACAGTGCCCTGTCTGACTGCCAGTGTTGATATGGATGGGTTATTATCAGCGCCCTATCTGCCAGGTATTGGGGATGAAGAGTCCCCTGTCTGACTGTCAGTGTTGATGTGGATTGGTTATTATCAGCGCCCTATCTGCCAGGTATTGGGGATGAAGAGTCCCCTGTCTGACTGTCAGTGTTGTTGTGGATGGGTTATTATCAGCGCCCTATCTGCCAGGTATTGGGGATGAAGAGTCCCCTGTCTGACTGTCAGTGTTGATGTGGATTGGTTATTATCAGCGCCCTATCTGCCAGGTATTGGGGATGAAGAGTCCCCTGTCTGACTGTCAGTGTTGTTGTGGATGGGTTATTATCAGCGCCCTATCTGCCAGGTATTGGGGATGAAGAGTCCCCTGTCTGACTGTCAGTGTTGATGTGGATTGGTTATTATCAGCGCCCTATCTGCCAGGTATTGGGGATGAAGAGTCCCCTGTCTGACTGTCAGTGTTGTTGTGGATGGGTTATTATCAGCGCCCTATCTGCCAGGTATTGGGGATGAAGAGTCCCCTGTCTGACTGCCTGTGTTGATGTGGATGGGTTATTATCAGCACCCTATCTCCCGGGTATTGGAGATGTAGTCCCCTGTCTGACTGCCTGTGTTGATGTGGATGGGTTATTATCAGCGCCCTATCTGCCAGGTATTGGAGATGCACAGTGCCCTGTCTGACTGCCAGTGTTGATATGGATGGGTTATTATCAGCGCCCTATCTGCCAGGTATTGGGGATGTACAGTGCCCTGTCTGACTGTCAGTGTTGATGTGGTTGGGTTTTTATCAGAACCCTATCTGCCAGGTATTGGAGATGTACAGTGCCCTGTCTGACTGCCAGTGTTGATATGGATGGGTTATTATCAGCACCCTATCTGCCAGGTATTGGAGATGTACAGTGCCCTGTCTGACTGCCAGTGTTGATGTGGATGGGTTTTTATCAGCACCCTATCTGCCAGGTATTGGAGATGTACAGTGCCCTGTCTGACTGCCAGTGTTGATGTGGATGGGTTTTTATCAGCACCCTATCTGCCAGGTATTGGAGATGTAGAGTCCCCTGTCTGACTGCCAGTGTTGATGTGGATGGGTTTTTATCAGCACCCTATCTGCCAGGTATTGGAGATGTAGAGTCCCCTGTCTGACTGCCAGTGTTGATGTGGATGGGTCCTGAATTTCAGAGAACAGTCAACTACAAAGGCACATACATGTTTGAGGTACAATCTTCAAACAGGAGAATATTGTACATCCCCAAATTGAACGCAAATAATAAAAATAGTATCCAATCACTGTTGTCACAAAACTTACCTATGGAATTTTCTCTCTTGCATAACTTGCACTTGAGGACAACACTAGCTGAGCCCCGGCCTCCTGTGAGAGGGGAGCTATCCTGTAACATGCACACACACACCTGTAGTCAACAGCTGACAGCACACTGCACTACATGTCTCACCTATAGTCAACAGCTGACACCACAGTGCACTACATGTCTCACCTGTAGTCAACAGCTGACACCACAGTGCACTACATGTCTCACCTATAGTCAATAGCTGACAGCATACTGCACTACATGTCTCACCTATAGTCAATAGCTGACACCACAGTGCACTACATGTCTCACCTATAGTCAATAGCTGACACCACAGTGCACTACATGTCTCACCTATAGTCAACAGCTGACACCACAGTGCACTACATGTCTCACCTATAGTCAACAGCTGACAACATACTGCACTACATGTCTCACCTGTAGTCAACAGCTGACAGCATACTGCACTACATATCTCACCTATAGTCAATAGCTGACACCACAGTGCACTACATGTCTCACCTATAGTCAACAGCTGACAACATACTGCACTACATGTCTCACCTGTAGTCAACAGCTGACAGCATACTGCACTACATGTCTCACCTATAGTCAACAGCTGACAGCATACTGCACTACATGTCTCACCTGTAGTCAATAGCTGACACCACAGTACATATCTCACCTATAGTCAACAGCTGACACCACAGTACACTACATATCTCACCTATAGTCAACAGCTGACAGCACACTGCACTTCATATCTTACCTATAATCAACAGCTGACAGCATACTGCACTATAGGTCTCACCTGTAGTCAACAGCTGACAGCATTCTGCACTACATGTCTCACCTGTAGTCAACAGCTGACAGCATTCTGCACTACATGTCTTACCTGTAGTCAACAGCTGACAGCATACTGCACTACATATCTCACCTATAGTCAATAGCTGACACCACAGTACAGTACATATCTCACCTATAGTCAACATCTGACACCACAGTACACTACATATCTCACCTATAGTCAACAGCTGACAGCACACTGCACTTCATATCTTACCTATAATCAACAGCTGACAGCATACTGCATTATAGGTCTCACCTGTAGTCAACAGCTGACAGCATTCTGCACTATATGTCTTACCTGTAGTCAATAGCTGACAGCATACTGCACTACATATCTCACCTATAGTCAATAGCTGACACCACAGGGCACTACATATTTCACCTATAGTCAACAGCTGACAGCATCCTGCACTACATGTCTTACCTGTAGTCACCAGCTGACAGCATACTGCACTACATATCTCACCTATAGTCAATAGCTGACACCACAGTGCACTACATGTCTCACCTATAGTCAACAGCTGACAGCATTCTGCACCACATGTCTCACCTGTAGTCAACAGCTGACAGCATACTGCACTAGATATCTCACCTTGAAGACACTGATTTTAGCAGCAATGATTCTCAGGTGACCACATTTCTGTCATGAGAATCTGGCCTATACTCACAGTCAAGGTGCAGTAGATAAAGTCTGGAGTCTCTTCCCCACAGTTATGACACCGAAGCTGGAGAACAAAGATGGAAAGTTAGTAATTACTGCATGTTAATGCATCTTACACTGGATTATCCAGAGTATTATATCCAGTGTTCAGAAAAGCTGCCTGCCCACTAGCCAAATGTGAGGGAATTTAAAAATGTGCTAGTAGTATTTCTGAAAAGCTGGCCCAATGACCTAGTTGAAATTTCTAGTCAATACTTATTTATTTCAACGAAAATCATCAAGTCAGGTAAGACGTTATTCATTTCCAATTCTGTTGAAATTTTGTTTTCATTTCATAGTTTATCAGAAACCCAGGCAAAGTAGTAAACTGGGTGTTTTCCTGTACACTGATTAGGACTTATATACATGTACATGCATTACTACCAATGGGTGTGAAAGTCTAAGATTAGAACCACCACAAATGTCAGACAAACATATAGTACAAAGCAGCCAATCAACTTTGCCGTGTTTTAGCGTAATAGTCTCAAAACACACAAGATACATTCAAGTTAAGTGATAGTCACTTGCTTGATAACGGTGTTAGAACCTAAACCGAAATGTCGCTCTTAATTGTAATAAAGAAGTTGTTCATCCATAAATTCTTATCCTTACTTAGTACTCCAACTTCTAAATGACTATCGAAGAAGTTATATCTCCATTGTATTCTGATAAATACCCTTCATGTGTACCAGGTTGCATATTCATATGTACATTGATGCGTGTGTAAATAGGCAAAAATTGGGCCAAAATGACTTTAAAAAACTAGCATCTAGGCATTGTTGCTCACAAGGTACATGTATTTAATATTTAGCTAAGAATTCGACATAGTGAAGTCTTTATCATGAACATTATGTTCGTGTAAATTATTAGTTTTTATTTCACCTTATCCACACAATCAGAATCCCAAAACGATTTTCCTGTGGGAATATCTAACTGTTAGAGTTGGCGTTATTTCAATAAATGTCATCAAATGGGCATCCCAAATCTGCTTGTTTGTTCATACTGAAGATTACACAAGCAACCTATGTTATGTAAGTAACAAAATAAAGCCTTTCCCTATCAATAACCTCGCAATCCTTCCACACTCGCTTGTGTAAACCAAATGACAGCTGCTTTATTGAAGGTGCTAACTCAAATTGACTCTTGGCACTTTACCAGGGTACGATTGAAAAGTAAACATGAAAATGTGTTTCAGTTGTTCATTTTCAACACATTTAATTCTGATTTTAATACTGGAAACCAAATGTGATTTCAACTCAGTTATCATGTCATTCATTAGTGCTCCATTAATGCTCATAACAAACTCGCTGGTTTTCTTATCCGTCGCACAACTGTGAACTGTGCGATACACAACACTGATAATTGGTCCAGAATTTTTGAGAAATGTAGATTTGGCTTCTCACATCTGACCATCGAGTAAAACAACCTTAAACAAAAAGTTTCAAACCTCATGAGTGACTGTTCCGATGATAATAATGAGGAATTAGTTTTGGCACAAAGTTCTGCAAGTTTACTGCATTCAGACCTCCTGTGTATGTTATTGTTTTCATGAACTTTATTTCTTGGAGTCTAAAACATCTGAAGCCAGTTTTAAAAGATTTTAGCTTTCGACTTTTGTCATTTCTTTAGACAAATACAACAGTACGTCAAGCGTTCTGGGTTTTTTCATAATAGCGCTATATAAGCCGCGCCATGTAAACTGAATTTATACTCGGCAATATTGCTGCAATAAACTTTCTATTCTGCTTTTATTTTGTGGCTATACCCATTATCTACAGATTGATGCGCGCACGAAAACTGTGAACGTCAACTAAGTTACCTTCAAATACCATCGGAAATCCTCATCAACGGCTTTCACGTTTGTGACATTTTCAAGCTGTGCGCTGATCTGGAGGGAAATTTTCTGTTGAAGAAGAGTACAAACTTTAAACGTCAGAAAACTGAATTTTAGTGAGTTGTTGGAATATAATTGTTGGCTCAGTTTTGTCAGCATGACACTTACCACCATCTTGAATATGTGCCCCCATGCGATAAGGGGAGACAACTCGAACAGTGATGTCACTTAATTCAAGTGCAGAGCTGTTGTTTGACGTCATCACAAGAATGATCAAGATTTTGAAGCGAGACTCTTAACAATATCCATCATAATCTATGAGGTCGAGGAGGTTTTATCATGTATACTTTATTTTGTTATGAAATTCGTTGCAGATTCCTGTGTTTGGATCTATTACCAACTACACTACATTTTAAACTTTAAAACATGAAGATAGACTTTTATTTTTCTCGAAATGGATATATTCAAGGGCCAGTCAAAGTGGCACAAATGAGTGTAAGATTTATCAGTCCAAAGGCTATATCTGAGGCGACGTTTGTATTCTTTGGTCCTATAGATATATCATATTAAATGCCCTTGATATCAACATTCTAATGGGTCATATATATGTCATTAACATCAAATATCAGATATGCCTGAATGTTTATGGTAAAGTGAGATAAAAGATCGTAAATTTAGATATCACAGTTTTTATTTAGACGTCGAGGCCTCAGATGAAATGCTTGTTCGTAATTGTTTTAATGGAGGGTACGAACAGATATTTCAAATATGGTAAACACCCCTCTTTAATTGAACCGTTTGAAGAATTGAGACAATATCAAGTTAAATAATATTGATACAAAATATGTCACATGATAAAACTCTGTTTGCTCAAATGTATGAGCAGGATCAGGGTTAAACGGCATCGCGTCACAACAGCATACTATATAATTGCCTGTCAACTAGAGCACTCAAATTCTTTCTTTGTGAAACGGAAATATAAATGCTGCCTGTATAAGTCAGAAGGGAATGTAAAAAATGTAACTACCCTTTACCATTCAGGGCCCGGTTGTTCAGAACCCGGTTATTTTAACACCAGGTTAACCCCTAACCAACCGTTAAATATTTAACCACACATTAGTTAACCATGCTTTGAGAAACAACATAACCATTTGGTTAATTTAACGGAGAGTTAACGCTGACTTAATAACTAGTTAAGAGTTAACCAGGGTTTGAACAACCGGGCTCAGATTGACGGGTGTTATTGTTCCAGGGACTCTTTATATAGTCTCCCTGATTGTCCTCACCTTCTTCACATCTACGCAACTATCCTCATATCTCCCCTCATCCATATACTGACAAAACATATGCATACAGTTCAACAATACCCTGTGTGTTTGTATTACAACACCTTCATCTTTTAGATCTGTTGTTATTATCAGGAAAACACCTTCATCTTATACATGTATATCTGTTGTTTTTGTCAGGAACACACCTTCAGCTTATAGATCTGTTGTTATTATCAGGAAAACACCTTCATCTTATACATGTATATCTGTTGTTTTTGTCAGGAAAACACCTTCATCTCATACATGTATATCTGTTGTTATTGTCAGGAAAACACCTTCGGCTTATAGATCTGTTGCTATTATCAGGAAAACACCTTCATCTTATACATGTATATATGTTGTTATTGTCAGGAAAACACCTTCATCTCATACATGTATATCTGTTGTTATTGTCAGGAAAACACCTTCGGCTTATAGATCTGTTGCTATTATCAGGAAAACACCTTCATCTTATACATGTATATCTGTTGTTATTGTCAGGAACACACCTTCAGCTTATAGATCTGTTGTTATTATCAGGAAAACACCTTCATCTTATACATGTATATCTGTTGTTATTGTCAGGAAAACACCTTCGGCTTATAGATCTGTTGCTATTATCAGGAAAACACCTTCATCTTATACATGTATATCTGTTGTTATTGTCAGGAACACACCTTCAGCTTATAGATCTGTTGTTATTATCAGGAAAACACCTTCATCTTATACATGTATATCTGTTGTTATTATCAGGAACACACCTTCATCTTATAGATCTGTTGTTATTATCAGGAAAACACCTTGATCTTTTTGATCTGTTGTTATTATCAGGAAAACACCTTCAGCTGATAGATCTCTGGTTATTATCAGGAAAACACCTTCAGCTTATAGATCTGTTGTTATTATCAGGAAAACACCTTGATCTTATACATGTATATCTGTTGTTATTGTCAGGAACACACCTTCAGCTGATAGATCTGTTGTTATTATCAGGAAAACACCTTCATCTTATACATGTATATATGTTGTTATTGTCAGGAACACACCTTCATCTCATAGATGTGTTGTTATTATCAGGAAAACACCTTCTTCTTATAGATGTGTTGTTATTATCAGGAAGACACCTTCAGCTGATAGATCTCTTGTTATTATCAGGAAAACACCTTCATCTTATACATGTATATCTGTTCTTATTGTCAGGAACACACCTTCAGCTTATAGATCTGTTGTTATTATCAGGAAAACACCTACATCTTATACATGTATATCTGTTGTTATTGTCAGGAAAACACCTTCAGCTTATAGATCTGTTATTATTATCAGGAAAACACCTACATCTTATAGATGTGTTGTTATTGTCAGGAACACATCTTCAGCTGATAGGTCTGTTGTTATTATCAGGAAAACACTTTCATCTTATACATGTATATCTGTTGTTATTGTCAGGAAAACACCTTCAGCTAATAGATATGTTGTTATTATCAGGAAAACACCTTCATCTTATACATGTATATCTGTTGTTATTGTCAGGAACACACCTTCAGCTGATAGATCTGTTGTTATTGTCAGGAAAACACCTTTAGCTGATAGATCTGTTGTTATTATCAGGAAAACACCTTCATCTTATACATGTATATCTGTTGTTATTGTCAGGAACACACCTTCAGCTTATAGATCTGTTGTTATTATCAGGAAAACACCTTCAGCTTATACATGTATATCTGTTGTTATTGTCAGGAAAACACCTTCAGCTGATAGATCTGTTGTTATTATCAGGAAAACACCTTCATCTTATACATGTATATCTGTTGTTATTGTCAGGAAAACACCTTCAGCTAATAGATCTGTTGTTATTATCAGGAAAACACCTTCAGCTAATAGATCTGTTGTTATTATCAGAAAAACACTTTCATCTGATACATGTATATCTGTTGTTATTGTCAGGAACACACCTTCAGCTTATACATGTATATCTGTTGTTATTGTCAGGAAAACACCTACATCTTATACATGTATATCTGTTCTTATTGTCAGGAAAACACCTTCAGCTTATAGATCTGTTGTTATTGTCAGGAAAACACCTTCATCTTATAGATGTGTTGTTATTGTCAGGAACACACCTTCAGCTTATTGATCTGTTGTTATTATCAGGAAAACACCTACATCTTATACATGTATATCTGTCGTTATTGTCAGGAAAACACCTTCAGCTTATAGATCTGTTGTTATTATCAGGGAAACACCTTGATCTTATACATGTATATCTGTTGTTATTGTCAGGAAAGCACCTTCAGCTGATAGATCTGTTGTTATTATCAGGAAAACACCTTCATCTTATACATGTATATCTGTTCTTATTATCAGGAAAACACCTTCAGCTTATAGATCTGTTGTTATTATCAGGAAAACACCTACATCTTATACATGTATATCTGTTGTTATTGTCAGGAACACACCTTCAGCTTATAGATCTGTTGTTATTATCAGGAAAACACCTTCATGTTATAGATGTGTTGTTATTGTCAGGAACACATCTTCAGCTGATAGATCTGTTGTTATTATCAGGAAAACACCTTCATCTTATAGATGTGTTGTTATTGTCAGGAACACATCTTCAGCTGATAGATCTGTTGTTATTATCAGGAAAACACCTTCATCTTATCCATGTATATCTGTTGTTATTGTCAGGAACACACCTTCAGCTTATAGATCTGTTGTTATTATCAGGAAAACACCTTCATCTTATACATGTTTATCTGTTCTTATTGTCAGGAACACACCTTCAGCTTATAGATCTGTTGTTATTATCAGGAAAACACCTACATCTTATACATGTACATCTGTTGTTATTGTCAGGAAAACACCTTCAGCTTATAGATCTGTTGTTATTATCAGGAAAACACCTACATCTTATACATGTATATCTGTTGTTATTGTCAGGAAAACACCTTCAGCTTATAGATCTGTTGTTATTATCAGGAAAACACCTTCAGCTTATACATGTATATCTGTTGTTATTGTCAGGAAAACACCTTCAGCTTATAGATCTGTTGTTATCATCAGGAAAACACCTTCATCTTATACATGTATATCTGTTGTTATTGTCAGGAACACACCTTCAGCTGATAGATCTGTTGTTATCATCAGGAAAACACCTTCATCTTATACATGTATATCTGTTGTTCTTGTCAGAAAAACACCTTTAGCTGATAGATCTGTTGTTATTATCAGGAAAACACCTACATCTTATACATGTACATCTGTTGTTATTGTCAGGAAAACACCTTCAGCTTATAGATCTGTTGTTATTATCAGGAAAACACCTTCATCTTATACATGTATATCTGTTGTTATTGTCAGGAAAACACCTTTAGCTGATAGATCTGTTGTTATTATCAGGAAAACACCTTCATCTGATACATGTATATCTGTTGTTATTGTCAGGAACACACCTTCAGCTGATCGATCTGTTGTTATTATCAGGAAAATACCTTCATCTTATACATGTATATCTGTTGTTATTGTCAGGAACACACCTTCAGCTTATAGATCTGTTGTTATTATCAGGAAAACACCTACATCTTATAGATGTGTTGTTATTGTCAGGAACACATCTTCAGCTGATAGATCTTTTGTTATTATCAGGAAAACACCTTCATCTTATACATGTATATCTGTTGTTATTGTCAGGAACACACCTTCAGCTTATAGATCTGTTGTTATTATCAGGAAAACACCTACATCTTATACATGTATATCTGTCGTTATTGTCAGGAAAACACCTTCAGCTTATAGATCTGTTGTTATTATCAGGAAAACACCTTGATCTTATACATGTATATCTGTTGTTATTGTCAGGAAAACACCTTCAGCTTATAGATCTGATGTTATTATCAGGAAAACACCTACATCTTATACATGTATATCTGTTGTTATTATCAGGAAAACACCTTCAGCTTATAGATCTGTTGTTATTATCAGGAAAACACCTTCATCTTATACATGTATATCTGTT